TGTGTTATTTTGAACAACAACCATATTTTTAGGCTTTTGGGCCCAAAGACCGATTATATAAGGCTTTCGGGCAATGTTCATGCCAAGGATTTGGACCTTAACTTTTTGGGCTTCCATATGAATTATTAACAAGTAGGTGTTCAGAAGTCAGCCAAGGTAAAGCCAGAGCAATCCAGCCGACTTTGGAAACAAACACGGTGCTTTCCACTCGTCCGGGTATCCCTAAACCCTAAACCCTAAACCCTAAACCCTAAACCCTAAACCCTAAACCCTAAACCCTAAACCCTAAACCTTAAACCTTAACCGTTCATACGTACAATAGACATCCAGAACCGAGAAAGCACAGGCTTCCCCGAATGAGGACATACCCTGGGTTTAGGGTTTAGGGTTTAAGGTATGCCTAGTTGATGAAGGTGATCATCAATATCAGTCCATCGAACCACAATTTCATGTACCTGACTTTGAGTTTTTGCCTAGATTGGCAGACTTTTCCTTTTTGAGGGGGCACAAAAGAAGATCTTAGGATCTTCAGTGGTATCCTTGGTTACTTTTTGGTGTTTCTGGATTCCTGTCATCATACACCAACCCAGAAAAGCATATACGTTTCCCCAGCTATTACTGCACAGCCTAGGTAACTGACCATAAAAATTCTGCTTGCGCAAAAACTTGTACAGGATTTGGGGTAGCAGGTAAACCCTAACCCTAAAACCCCCTAAAGTCCCCAAACCCTAAACCCTAAACCCTAAACCCTAAACCCTAAACCCTAAACCCTAAACCCTAACCCTCAAACCCCCTAAAGTCTGCGCTGAGCCTTCATGGTAGCCTTTCAAGATGCAGAGAAGGCACCGTAGGACCTTCCAGACTGCAAGCAGATGAAGATCAAAAAGAGTTGAGAGTTTAGTGTTTACGGGATTAGGGTTTAGGAATTGAGGCGCTAAACACCTAAACCCTAAACTCTAAACTATTTAGGGGTCGAGGGATTGAGGGGTTGGTTTAGGTTTGAGGTTGTCTTTGACGATGCCCGAGAGTTGGGAACTGAAGGGCTAAGTGTGTTGGGTTTAGGAGATTAGGGTGCAAAGGACGCCAAGCTGCGAGCCTAAACCGTCCGAAGCCGGTGCTATAGGGCTACGATATGAGTCCCTGACCCTAAATCCTAAACCCTAAACCTTATTAAACATGGGTCTTCCTGAACACTTCATCTTGGCTTCTAATTCGAATACAGGGGCCTAAATAGTGACCTATACTATTTTTTTTTGGGGGGGGTCCTTATTATACTTATAGTATTATGTACCCCCAAACCGTATTCTGCTTGTTAAGGCCCCCACATTAGATGCTACAAGCCAAGACCCTGAAGCTCGCATGCTAAGCCTTTGTCCCTGAGAGCCCAAATCGATGCTGACGACCGGGATCCTGAAACAATGCAGAAAACAGCATCTATATGGGTAGTTTTGTAAAGTAGGGTCCCTCTTTAGGTCCCCCAAGTAGTACGGCACCCTTGCAAGTAGGACCCCGGCAGGGGCCCTAATTTAGATAGCTACCCATATATCATCATCGCCACTACCGGTCTTAGCTTGTCTTCAGCAAAATGCTCGTGGCTTCATCCGCAGCATCATCTGCATCCAGGTGTACCCCACAAATACAATCGCAACCAGAGGCACTGAACGGCGGGGACATCCTGCTTACCTGCCTGCCTATAGGCTCATACCCTACCTTTTTTTAGGGTACCTACTTTTCTGAAAAGGTACCCAAACCCTCTACGATTCCGAAAGGCCCCAAGTAGAAGCACACCATTCGACAATGGCAGGTCCCATCCTTCTTGCAGGGCCCGGAGGAGGTGGAGTTTTTTCGAGGTGCGCCTTTGATCTTACTAGAGCAGGTGACCCTTAACGTTTTCGGGGTTTTGTTATTAAGGCCATATTATGAAGCCTTATAAAGGCTTCATGAAAGCCTTATTCAGGCCTTATTCAGGCCTTATTAAAGCCTCATTGAAGCCAAGAGGTTAAGCTTTCGTTCCCCTGGGATGCTGGGCAAGTAAGTGTCTGGATCATGTAATGCTTTCGGCCAAGCAGGCTTGGCACAAGTTGCTATAGACCCCCAGCATGGTAACTTAACTAAAGATCCTAAACAACCCAGGGGTGCTAGTGGAATGGACGGTGATTTAGGTTGATCGATACTCTGATCCACCCCAAGAGTCCAAATGTTAGGTCATTTCTTGTTTGACGAGGTGTGGGAAAGCAGGGTCTCCATGTGACTCGTTGACCTTGGGGTATGGCAGTTTCGGCTGTTTCGGCGTTGTGGGCAGGCCAAGTCAGGCTTCAATGCACAGTTGCCAAGCTACTAAACTTTTGACCCTAAACCCTAAAGAACAAAACCTAAACCCTAAACCCGAAAAAACGAACCCTAAACCCTCAACAACAGATGTTCTGGCCCCCGATCTTTATAAACGATGGGTGAGCTCCGGTCCGATGCATCTCGGCCTGTCTGGTGGCGTTGAGCAAACCAATTGTAATATAGGGGCCTAAATAATTAAAGTATAAATATAGTATAATGGGCCCCAACACCCTATTATAGTTATTAAGGCCCCTACATTAGGGGCTCAATAATTAGAATAGAGGTTTGGAGGTTCCCTTGATATATTTTTTGTATAATATGCCCCCAAACCCTATTCTAATTATTAAGGCCCCTACAGCAAGCACCTATCTTCCAAGCTAGAACGACCAATGCCCAATGGCAAGGCTTTACATCCGAGAAACCCTCAACCCTAAACCCTAAACCTGAATGACCTGAATGGTTCTACTATGTTGTGCTGACGGTTTAGGGTTTAGGGTTTAGGGTTTGCTGTGGCGCATAGCAGAAATACCTGGTGACAGTATGGTTTCGAGTGCATCGTAGCTTGATGATGCGCTGCCGGAGCTTGAATGTGGAGAGCTCCATTTTTTCTCTCCCACCCCACACCGTCTCAGGCGGCCAAACCACCCAAACCTATTCCTTTTAGGGTTTAGCTCTAAGCTCATTCCTTCTTCACTTGAAGCTCGTTCATGCAGCCAGAGCAGGGCAGGGCGAAGGCAGGCAGGGGTCAAACCGGCAAACAGGGCAGGGCAAGCAGGCAGGGCAGCAGCACGGCAGGGGCAGGGCATACCTAAGCCCTAAACCTAAAGACCCCAAAAAGCCCTGAATCCTAAACCTCTGGGCCTCCGCCGTAAAAACCGGAACGCAGCACGCATGAATGGACGTTTTCTGAGCTCCCGAGGATCCTATAGGGCTTAGCCCCTGACACCCGTAAGTTCAACATGCACCCGATTTATTAGAGGATCAGAAATAAAGATAAAGTGCAATAACATTAATAGCGTATGCAAACGTTCTAAACTGATCTTCTCTGTGTCTTTTTTTTTCTGGGGTTGTGTGCTTGGAATTCTGGAGATTGGCTCAGGGCAACGAGAACTCCAGCGCACAGCTGCAGGCGATATAGGAACACTATACGCACTGGCGAGTGACTAGTGTGAACACAATCTGGGGTTCAGGGCTGAATAATTAGTACTAGTACACTTTTATTGCCGATTATGACAACATTCCCACTGTTCGAGTCCTAAGCCCTAAACCCATCACTCGTCCGATAAAGCATCAACCGCTATGTGGGTCGAAGTCCTTCATCCAACGAGCCCAACTGCTCTTGCCAATAAGAAAATCCTTATCAGCGTCCCTACAGTAAGCATATGAAATCCTGGTTTTCAACAAAAACTGTAAAAACCTGTTGCAAATCCTTACACCCTAGACCCTCAACCCATAAAGTTATGAAAACTGAGAAACCTCTGCTGCAAATCCTTATGTAAACCTTAAACCTTGAACCCAGAAAACCCGTCAGCAAAGTCCCACCAGTCTAGCCCTGACCTAATGCGACGATCATCGGCTCATTCAGCTTCCGAACAGTCCGGCGCTGCTGTTTGTAAATTGTGGGTGCAATTTGGGTTTTGCGCAGGGGTTTCTAGGCATATGTAGGGGTTACATGGATTTTCATTAAGGGTAGATAGGTAACCCTAGACCTTAAACCCGAAACCCTAAACCGCATAGGTACGGTTTCTCTGAAAGTGTTGGCGAGTTTCTCACTGGAGCTGACTTACGGCAT